GTTTGGTGAGGAGGTGCCACACTATTTTCGATTCTCCTATGGGGATTGAAGATGGTCGTTGTAGTTTTCAGTGCTAGTATTGTTGTAGAGCATAGTGGCTAGTAATGGGAGGGAGAGCGTCTCTCCTCCCCTGAAGATGGAGGGGTGGGGTTTGAAGGGGAAAAGGTAAGTTGGGGTTGTTGAGGAAGTGGGATCAAGGTTTTATGGATAGTTTTAGGGTTAGAGTCCTGCTCATGAATGGATCGGTCAGCTCATACTAAAAAAATACTAATAATCTACTCAATTGCTCTAAATGATCTCTAAAGTTGTCTGATTTTGATGATTGATTGGACAGACGAATCTTAATTTTTCTTTTTCAGACGAAATTCTTGTTTTGTATCCAAAAGATAACAACCGAACTCTAAATTGCTGAATTTCGAATGAATTTTGATCGTTTTTTATCACTTTTGAAATAACTCCTGGAAAAAATTTCAAGTGGAGATTCGTAAATCAGATTTTTGCTCTGATATCAAGCCATTCTTTCGAAAATTCAACACCTAAAGTGGATGATCTTGATCTGGATTCCATTTTTTTTTTAATTCTTAGTTGTCTTTATTTGAAATTACTTGATTTTCCTCTAAGGGTTTCTCCTGATTCTCGACTCTGATGCTATAATTAGTAATCTTTAAATCCACGATCACAATAGTATGTTACTGTTACCTTGCTATGGTTCTTCAAGTTGAGGAGTTTTAGTTGGGTGGGTGGTCACCCTTGTCGTTAGTTGTGGGTCAGGTGTTTTGAGGATGAGTGGCGTCGGTGGGGGGGGGCGGTTTCTGGTTTGTGATATGGTGTCCTGCTGGTGAGGAGGGCTAGCTAGTAGGATTGGATTAGGGCATAACCGCAACTGGGGTGGTGGCTCAACTGTTATTAGTCTTGCCGGAGAGAGGTTGGCGGTTAGTGGAGGGGTCGGTGCTGAGCGTTTTTGGGTGAGGGCGTCCGCCTGACTTCTTCTTTCTCCTCTTCTTGTGAATTATGGGTGGAGGAGGTCGGCTCATCGTGAGAGGAGGAAGAGTTGAGGGAAAGTGTGTGGGTGCGTCTGCTTTTCTCATCCTCCGAACTATGCGGTGGAGGAGGTCGGTTCGTCGGGGGATGAAAAAGAGTAGGAGGTTGGAGGGAAGAGGGGGGATGTTTTTTCTGATAGTCTCTGACTCGTAAAACTGTCTACTATTCTTTTATCTTCCGAACTATGTGGTGAAGGAGGTCGGATCGTCGGAAGATGATGAAGAGTAGGGGGCTCGAAGGAATAGTAGGCTGATAGTCTACGTAGAGATCTTCTTATTTTCTCTTAAAAATGGGCCGACGTCTGCAGAGTTGTTTAGTCCTCAGGTAATAATTTTCATCTTGCGAACTACGTGGTGGAGGAGGTCGGCTCGTCGTGAGATGAAGAAGACCGTTGTACGTTGTCGACCGTTGTGGTACCCTGTGAGCTCATTCTTCTGTTGCTCTTTAGCTGGCGAACTATGTGGCGGAGGAGGTCGGCTCGTCGCCAGAAGAAGATGGCAGGGGAGAGAGTTTAGCAAGGATACGCGGTGGCAGGGTAAGGAGTATAGGTGACGAAAAACAATTACGCGTGACGTCGGTTGGATGGAAAGGGAAGAAGATGGTAGCAGTATATTCAAGTTTCTATAACATTTCTCAGTTGTGCTGAAATCAGATTTCGGTCTGAATGTCTCTATGACCTAAGGTTTTGTTGGCTGTTTATGGTTGCTAAGGGTGGTCTTACGAATGTTTCATGATTCTCGGGATTTTTACCACCTCACCTTAGGAGGCTTCGTTGCTGTTATACTCAGTGATCCGCGACTGTCCGATGCCAGAACGACGCTAGTTGGTGCTGGGGTGTTGCCCTATAACCTGCTGATGCAGGAGTATGAGGCCTGGTAGAGAGATCTGGGAATGCTTTGAGGTGGGCATTTGTTGCATACTGTAACGGTGCAGACCAGAACAACAACCGACCTCTTTCACAAAGTACAAGATAGCGTAACGGAAGACTTAAATACCAATGATCCGAACAATCAATATTGCAATGCAACCCCGAACATACATCATCATCATCACTCCATGATGTGAAGGGGTCTGGCGCTCACACAGGAAGAATGCGCCAGCCCCAACCATACATAGACGAAGAAGAGGGGGGTTAGATGAAGAAGAGGGGAAGATGGGAATGTCGTCAACACCAAGTCTTCGGCACAGGCCCAAATAGTCCCTCGTCAAAATGTCTGGATCCAATGTCGTCAAGTCTCAAGTCACAACTCTCTCTCTCTGTCGTAGTCCGCTGATATTGAGACGTCAGGTAGTGAGAGGGTGAAGAAGAGATGGTGGACTTAGAAGAGGAGGAAGAAAAACTCTCTCTCTCTCTCTCTCTCTCTCAGTCCGGTACTAACCTGTGAAGCTGGCGCCTTGATGCAGGTACCTCGAAGATGGAGCTGGAGCTATGGCGCCACAGGTAAGTCTTACTGGCCTCCGCCAGCCATCTCTCCCCAACAACTACCACCTATGAGCGCCCAACACTGAAGACTACTGCTACTGCCACTAGCGCCCAACGCTGAAGACTACTGCTAGCGCTAAGCTGCTCCTGCAACGCTCCTCCAGAGTGCTGCTCCCGAATCCTAAAGACTACTCCTGCCTTCTGTCAAACTACCTGCCCGTGAAGTGCATGGGAACTCCCTATGTACTACTCGGCCTGGACTGGCTGCAGGCGAGGCAGCAGTCCAGCCAGTCCAGGAGGCTGCTCTTGCCAATGCCAGGGCAAGCCAGGGGTTGGCGCTGCAGCCCCTGCTAAGGCTGGCGTGGGGAACAGGCCAAAAATAGCATGTTCCCAAAACCTTGGTTTGTTGCCTGAGTTCTAGGGCAGGATGACCTTATGAGGGCCCGAAAGTGACCCTCCGTTTCAGGCTGAAAAGACTCAGGGCTGAAAAGCCGTGTTTTAGGCTGAAACAACATAGGGCCTGCAGACCCTCGTTTTCAGTCTTTCAGGTTGAAACGACATGGGGCCTGTAAGCCCTTATTTCTAGGCTTTTAGGCTGAGAATGCGGGACGGGCCCTGCAGGCCNGAAACGACATGGGGCCTGTAAGCCCTTATTTCTAGGCTTTTAGGCTGAGAATGCGGGACGGGCCCTGCAGGCCCGTGTGGCTACGCAGTATGCCACACCCCCCCCTCCTTGAAAGACCGAGCTTACCTGTGAGGGCGAAGGTGTCTGTCTGAGGGAGGGACCACAGTCCGGGTGGGAGGGGCAGGTCGTGAAGTTCGCTGAACTAACCTTTGTCACTCGTAGTGAGCGTAGATCAGCGGTGCGGATGCTTTCAAATCTGTTCCTGAAATCCACCGAGTGTCGTCGGGATCGCATGCTTTGAATGTAACTTTGTACTCTCGAGGCTTGTTGCCGTACTTGCGATCCGTGATGACGCGGTCAACTTCCTGATGACCATCCATAGATGGAGGGTCCTGCGATCGTCGGCCTGGGAAGTCGTCGCTCTTAGCTGGTGTATATGTTGCCAGCTTCGAGGCGTTAAAACACTGGATGGACCGTCAGATGCGGGGGGATGTTGATCACAAATGAAGGGTCATCGGGCTCATCGCCCGCGACTGAAGTTACGGGCCATGGTCCAAACCACTTGGGAAACAGTTTGCGTGAAACATCCTGTTCCAGTGCAAACTCTTCCGTGGAGACCCAAACCAGATCACCGGCGCGGATGGGACATGGCACGCGACGCCTGTTGGCTTGCTGTTGCATGCGGACTTGAACCTTTAACATGTTCGCGCGGGCTTGAGCCAGCAATTCCCTGTACTTCTAGACGGAAGCGGGAGAGCAAGCGGCGTCGATATCGGCTGGTCATGGAAGGAGCAGATCGGCAAAGATACGGCCTTTCTGTCCACCGTGGTGCAACTCGAATGGAGTCACGCCGATCGCCGGATGCACAAAAGTGTTGTAGGTGAACTCGATGTCGGGGAGGCGGTCAGCCCAATCTTTCTGATCCGGACGGATGAGCGTACGAAGCATCATTTGAGCGGTTTGATGTGCCCGCTCCGTTTGCTCGTCCGTCTATGGATGCCGAGCCGAACTTGGTTTCATCTTCGTGCCGGACTCCTGCATGAGAGCAGTCCAAAATGCCGACATGAAGCGAGTGTCGCGGTCGCTGACTATGTCTTCCGGTACACCGTGGCCGCAAATCCAGCCGGTGTGCAAGAGGCGTGCCAGCTCGGGAGCCGTGAAGTTGTACTTGCAAGGGAGAAAACGTGCGTACTTACTCAAACGGTCCACGACCGTGAGGATGTCGTCGTGCCCGAGGCGATCGTGGGAAAATGGTCCGGTGACATCCATGGCAGTGGAGAGACCGGGTTCCCGTGGGATAGGCATCGAACGCAACTCGCCATAGGGGTTGCGATTGCGGGGCTTGCTTCGTCGACAAACTTCGCAAGAGTCGCAATACCGAGTGACATCCGTAATGCGGTCGGGCCATCAGAATCGTTGTCGAAGCCGTGCAATAGTGCGGTTAACTCCGAAATGGCCAGCGAGTCACGAATCATGATACTCGCCGAGAAGGCGAGTCCGAAGATGACGGTCTCGTGGGACACATAGTAAGTCCTTGCCTCTCGAGTGGAGGAGCAAGTACCCGTCGGCAATGCAATAATGGCTGGCCGGCGGGTGATCCGAAGATAGCTGTGCATACAACATGGCGAAGTCCGGATCAGACTCATAGCCCCGGATGAAGTGTCGCTGGAGTTCCTCGTCGAATGCGAAGGCATGATGTGTCATAGCGCAAAGATCAGGTCTTCGCGAGAGTGCATCTGCTGCGCGATTGGAGAGGTCGTGAAGATGTTTCGGTGTGAAGTCAAATTGGTCGATGAAGTACATCCATCGTCCGATTGTGCTGCTCACCGTATCCTGCGTCTTGTAGTAGGTCAATGGGTTGTTGTTCGTGACCCATGTGAACCTACGGCGCCCAAGGAGGAAGTGCCGCCATCGCTTGACAGCCATCACGATCGCGAGCAGCTCCTTCTTCCTTGCATCATCAAGCGAATTGATGGGAGGCACTTAGTGGCTGAAATACTCCACAAGGTGCCAGTCGTCACCGTCGTGTTGTTCCAAGACTGCCCCAATGCCGTAGCCGGAAACGTCAGTTGTCACTCTCGTAGGCAGGGTGGGGTCATAGATGCTAAGGACGGGTGCCATGAGCATGGCCGTCTTAAGTGCTTGGAATGACCGGCGTGTGTCGTCATCGAATACGAATGACACCTTTGGCGATTGTAATCTCGTCATAGGTGCATCAATCCTTGAGTACCTGGTGATGAATCGCTGATAGTAGCCCGCCAACCCCATGAATGAACGAACGTCCGTGGTGTTGGTGGGCTCTGGCCATACACGGATGGCCTCGATCTTGTCCGCAAGCGGACGGATGCATTGCGGCGTCACATAATGTCCCAAGTACTCTAGCTCCTGCCGCGCGAATTCGCATTTGTCGTGGTTGGCTTTGTACTTGGCTTGTCGTTGCCACTCCAAAACGGTGCGCAGGTGCTCCACATGCTCGTCCAAACTCCGACTGTACACCAAAATGTCGTCGAGGTAGATAAGTACGAATCGATCCAGCATGTGTCGGAACTCCGTTGTCATAGCTGCTTGGAAGGTGGCTGGGGCATTCGTAAGGCCAAACGACATAACCAACCATTCGAAATGTCCATATCGTGTCTTAAACGCGGTCTTGTAGCGGCCCTCCTGCCGGATCTCGAGTTGGTGATATCCCAATTTGAGGTCTAGCTTGGAGAAGAACTTGGCGCCGCCTAGCCGTTCGAGGAGGTCGTCGATGTGTGGAAGAGGGCCGACGTTCTTGACCGTTTGCGCGTTGAGCTTGCAATAATCGATGCACAACCGCAAATCCTTGTTCTTCTTCCGGACGAAGAGAACAGGAGCATCGTATGACAATGAGCTAGGCCGAATCCAGCCCTTCTCCAGAAGGTCGTCGAGTTGTGCCCGCAGCACACTTAACTCTTCCTCGCTCATACGGTAGATGCAACCACGCGGAGGTACAACCCTGTCCTCGAGGATGATCTCGTGGCGAATGGGCCAATCCGGTAATACTCCGTGCGGACCTTCGAACACGTCGCTGTAGGCGTCGAGAAGCTCGGTGATGCGTGGGTCCGAAGATGAGTCCGTCGATGAAGCGTCATGGGGCGGGAGGGCGTGGAGAAAACACCCCCCCATCTCCTCGATGTCGTCTCTGATGATGGAAGCTCGCATGCTTGCGGTGGACACCACGTGGCACATGATCGAAGCATGAGGAGGAGGCACCGTGCATGGGACTAGTACTCCGTTCCGATCACGAACGTGAACGGTGCGGCGGTAGAAGTTCACCGGGTGATCCTCGCTTCGTAGCCATGACATGCCCCAGATCATGTCGAATTTGGTGTCCAAGATATCGAAGGACACCGCCTCGCTTGCATGCGGGGCCAAGTACACGAGGACGTCATCTATGCACCGGTCGATTGACTTGTGTGTGTGACCGTCTGCCAACGTGACTTGCGTAGGCTGGAACTTCCTCCGGACGCGTGGGCCAAGGCCGGCGCGTACCATAAAGTCCTGGCTCATGTAGTTGCGAGATGCTCCGCAATCGATCAAAGCGCCGCAGGTTGCCTCTCCGATCTGAATGCGTACATATAAGAATGGTGCGTCGATGTCGTCGTACCGTTGTGTCTTGAACTCGCGGTCGATCTTCGCAATGTAGTCGTGAAGGTCCACAACCTCTACTCCGACGTCCATCAACGGAGTTGGTGCTGCAGTGTGCAAGTAATCCCGCAATTGTGCCATGAGCACGTTGCAATGCGGTTTCCGCAATCGACCGGACCAGGGAAGGGGCATCCATTGGAAGTCTGCAAACGTCAACGGGTCGAGCTCTTCATGTCTTGACCATGTCGTTGAATCCCCGGCTATAGATGGCGGCGAAGCTTCCGACTTGGTTGCCGATGGTAGTGAAACCGTGCATGCAGTGGATTGTTGCACGTGGAGTGGTTGGTCCAACGGTGGGACCGAGTGGACAACATAGTCCTCGTAAGTGTACCGAGAACTTGTGACATTCGCATCCTCCCCAGATGTGTAGGAGGCCGTTACCAAGGCGGCCGAAGCTGGCGGAGTGAGAGGTGGAGTCGCCTCACCTCCCGCGGAACTCAGTTTCCCGAGTTGATACGAGACCGAACATCCTCCTTGCCTTGATCCGGGCATTGGGACGTCTTGTGCTTGGTGTTGTTGCACCAATAGCAGCAGCCGTAGCGGCCGCGCCACTTGTATTCTGCCTCGGTCAAGTGAAACTTGACCCATGGTGCTGGCTGTCCGTTTCCGGCTGGCGATGCGGTTTTCGCCTTCCCGTTTCCTCGGGACTTGTTGTTGCTTCGCGGCTGGACAACAGCCACCTGATCTCCCTCACGTGACGCTTGGGTGGCTGCCGGGTCTTCCACAATGTTGTCCGATTGGACTGCAGCGACATGCTGCGGCCGCGGACCAATTTTCACCTTCTCCACATAGGTTGGCTGCCATGCTGATTTCTCGTGTGCAGCTACCCTATTGGTCTTGATGATCTTCCTTGCCTTGTCGATGATTTTAGCGAAGGTTGCATATTGCTCTCGATCACCAAGTGCAAGGCTCAAGGCGACACATGACCGGTTGCAGAACTTGCGGTGTAGATGCGAAAATGGCAAGTCAAGATCGGGCGTTGCCGCGATCTTTTACCATTCCGTGAGCCAGTCACGTGTCGATGTGTTGCCTTGCGTCATAGCGAAGAGGCGGTTGATGGCGAGTGCTGGCACGTCGTCCACGATGAACCGCTTCTTCCATAACCGTGTTAACTCTTCGCAAGAGATCTTATCTTTCAGATCTGCGACGTCGATGCCGTGGACGGTTGCCAGGTGGCTCAACCAGATCTGGCATCCGCCCTTTGAGTTGAGGAACAGTGCGCCGATGTACGTGTGCTTGGCGACGAACAGGATCCGAAGTTGCGTCGTAAAGCCCTCCCACCAGAGGACCGGGTCTTGATGCGTATAATCATTGAACTTCTCGATTTGGAATGTCGGCATCTTGTAATGCTGCGTGGTGTTGCCATCCTTGTTAGGCAGCTGCAGTTGCTGAACATCGGTCTTCAAGATGTCCAGCTGGTTGTTGATGGTGGCTGGTGCAGCGAAGGTACTGATGTCGCCGAGCATTGCGACTACGTGGTCAACTCGTTCCTCCAGTTGGCGGGCAGAGGGTGCACTGTTGGACTCGCCAGCCTCCGGTCTTGGTGCAGTTTGCTCGAAGTCCTGTACACGGGAATCAAGTGCCCGTGCTGCATCCTCGTGCTGAGCCTTGTGGTTTCGTACGGCCCGCTGGAGGTTCGCCAACTCGGACTGCAGGTGATTACAAGTGTAAACCAACCTAGTCACGAGTTTGGCCATGAATTCCTTGTGCTGCTCCTCCGGTGTCGCGTCGTCGTGCTCCTTGGATGGTTCAAAGTGCCAAAACTGGAGCTTTTCTATGCTGGTGGCTTCATGCTGCTGTAGTTGATCCTGGGCCTCCTTGCGGCGTGCCTGGGTATATGCTTCAACTTCGGCTTGAAGTCGTTGCTTCTCAGCTGTTGCCGCCGCTTCAGCCTGTAGGCGGACAGCCTCGGCTGCCACCTGGCGTTGTTCCTCAACCTCGATCAGTGCGAGCTTACTCGGCAATGGACTCGTTGGCCAGTTGGCCTGGCATACCCAGAGCTGAGCCCGTCATGGTGGCGGGGCACTGCTGACGTGGCACTGTGGCACTGCTAACGTGGCACTGCTGATGTGGCACTGTTGCTGACGTGGCACTGCTAACGTGGCGCTGTTGCTGACGTGGCATTGGTGACGTGGCACTGTTGCTGACGTGGCACTGCTGCTAACGTGGCACTACTGACGTGGCACTGTACCAACCCGGGAATGCATGCAAAAGTGGTGGGTGGGAGGGAAAACGTAGGTAGGTAACCAACCCAACAATACTTTCTTCCCAGCCCTAATCAACAGATACAAAAAAAAAAAAGAGGACTACTTCCTTTTTTTTTTTTTTTTTT